AAGATCAGTGCTTCAGATTCGTGAACGCAAGCTGCTTCCTTCTCAACTTTGCCTTGTGCTCAAGCAGTTTCCTGAGGGATGTTTCACCCTCCTCTGTTGGTTAATCAAATGGTATCTGATCTTCCAAACCACTCCCTGCATAGATTATAGATAGATGAAGCTTCTTTAAACTTAAGCTTGAAGATCTCAACTCCTGCAGAATACACAGCAGTTCACAGTGCCATGCATGGCCTATTAAACTAGTTTTCTATACATTGCTGACCTCTCTAGCTGTGTCGTTATCTTCCCACCTGTTAAGGCTTTGTCTTTTTACCCATCAAAATTCTTCACAAGCTCAGGGCCCATGAAGTAATGATACTCCTGAGTGTGTGTATTCATTATTAATTCCAACCTCGGCTTCCTACATGTAAATCTGCTCACCAGATATTTTATTTTTTAAATTTAAAATACATTCTTATTTAATAAGCTCACAGGCTTATTGTTTACTAGTTTATAGAGAATTAGAACATTACTAAGTGAAAAATGAAAAAATGCTCTGTTTTACATGAAAATAATAAAAGTTAAACATCAAGAATTGCTCACTATCGTAGATGTATTGCTTTAATAACAGCACACAGGGATGGCATAATTTGTGCTTATTTTAAATTGGATGCATCAGCAACAGAGCAAATGTGTCTGAATTTAAATTTAACATAGAGCTCCTCAAATGAGGGCATAAGATACTGCACTAATTATGTGTGTTTCCATGCCATCTACTAACAAGGGAGGGAATAATTGGATTAATGGAGCACGGAGAGGGTGTAAACACCCTACTCTGTCAATGGGGAACAGGGAACTGGCAGTGGCTTTCAACCCTTGCATATCAGGCATCCTGCATATCAGATACTTACATTGTGATTCGTAACAGTAGCAAAATTACAGTTATGAAGTAGCAATGGAATAATTTTATGGTTTGGGTTCACCACAACATAAGGAACTGTGTTAAAAAGTCACAGCATTTGGAAGGTAGGGAACCACTGGTTTAGGGGGTTGGGGATATGGCTTAGTTGGAAAAGTGCTTTCCTGCAAACATGAGGACCTGAGTTCAGATTCCCAGCACCACTGTAAAAAGTTCTGTGTAGCATTGTGTGTTCATAGTCCCACTCCTGGGGAGGCAGAGACCAGAGGATCCCTGGGACTAGGGTAGCCAGGCTAGCAAATTGGCATGTTCAGGGAGGGCCTCTATCTCCAGAAAGTAAATGGAAGAGCTGGAGAGATGGCTAAAGGGATAAAGGGTTGACTATGCAAGAATGAAAACCCAAATTTGAATCTCTGGAATTCAAATGTAGATGTGGTGATGTTCATATCAAAGCCCAATCCTTTTACAGTGAAACAGGAGAAGAGTTCCAGCTGCCTGCAGGCCAGCTACATGCAGGGGTGAACTGTCTCAGGGTGGGAGAACTGGAACTCTCCCACTTCTGACCTCTGCATGTGCACCCACACTCACACACATGAGTGCACACACATCATACACAACATAATATATAATGTGGGGACCAGTTGAAGAAGCTACCCATGCCCAATGCTGGTCTATACCAAGTATTGTGCACTCACACCTGCACATACTGCACATGTGAACAGATACACACAGATACAAAACCAAATACTTGATCTAATTAGAAGAAAATCATTTGTGCCTGCATGCTCCTGGCTGCTATGCTCTGTTAACTCTTCCGGGCCTTTGGGGTTTATGTTTACTTAGATACTGGATTTATGTATAGTGGAGCATCACACTGCTGTGAGGATGACATACCTGCAAATACACAACAGTGGAGGAAGCCAAGAAAAAGAAGCCAGACCCCAAGATTCCGTTCATAGGCATTAAAATAATAGTCCAGCCAAACTATGTTATTTCAAGTTAGGAAAGCAGTTTTCTTGGTGCCAGGGGATGATGGAAGAAGGAATTCTTCCAATATGGTTACTAGATTCACGGGTGAATACCCTCGTCAAAATCATGTACATATAATGACTATATTCTCTGTATGTTGTTCCTAATAAACGAGTTTTAAAATGAATGGATCAGAAAACTTTCCTGGAGACAAATGCATACTTGTAGTTTTTTCATATTTCCTATTGATTTTCTTTGGTCTAACTTGACTTTGTTATTAGCTGAGAACTTATTACTTGTACTGCATTTCAAAACTGTGTCTTTGCCCTAATTCATACAAAGTGGATGAGGGTGTCTTCCCCTCCGGCTGCTTCCTGTGGTGCCTTCCAAGCTGCTAGAAAAGACAGCAGCCCACTTGGGCTGCTTCCCAGCAGATGCAACTTCTGTTTCTTAACTAAGCTTGAGACCAAGCAAAAAAAGAGGGAAAGCCTTGCAAACAAGATGAGCCTGAGGATGGACTGAGGAGGTGGTCAGCTCAGAGACAGAGGAGAGCTGGCCACCTGGTCAGGGAGCTGTGTCCATGATGACCCCATTTCACAGTCATCCCCACCAGCTGCCCTGTGCTTCACAGAGTCCAGTGTACCTGGGTGTTTTGCTCATATGCCCTGAAATCATCACTCACTTTTAAATTAACACCCAAATCTAATTTAAATTTATTTTTGTAAAAGGAGGTAAAAATACTGAATATTTTACAAGCTCAAAATGAGTGTGGGCTAAGTAGATGAGGCAAGTCACGATGGGATTTGATAGTGGTTATTGAATACCTTGTGAATACAAGCACACTGAAATGACAGAAATTTTTAAATCTCTAGTTTTGTTAGCTCTGTAGAATATTCCAGTTTAAAGATTCAACTGCCCTTGTCCAAAAGCCCTTTGGAAAATCCTAATTCGTAGTACCTTGGTTTAGACTCCCAACACAGTTTCTGTCTGTTAGTATTTTTGCTCACTGATTGATAAATCATACCTCCAAATGGGTACTGTAGTTGATTGCAGGCGATAGTCTGCACAGATGTAGTCTAAGAGTCCAGGTGAACATAGAGGGACTGGAAATCTTATTCTTGGTGTTGCCTGTGAATCTTTATTTCCGGGAAAGCTTTGAAGTTTGAAGACTGCTTTTAGATACTGTCATAAGCAGCCAAAGTAAACCTGGGCTGCCCTCTGGCCTCACATGTAAATAGCCAAGGGAACCAGCTGGTGAGAGGTCACACTCAACCTGCTTCTTTGTTTTAATGGAAAGAGAAGGTGGTCTTCATTGCTAATATATAAACAATTTCAACTACAAAAAAGAGGCGCCTGAAAGTTAAGCTGTTGAAACATAAAGTCTGTTTGTGTACTTGAATTTTGGAGATGTCATCTCTCCAGTGTGCCTGTGTACATGAAGTTTGGAAATCTGTCTTCGACCATCATTTAAAAATAACATGGTTATTCATAGATATATGGTAATGCTTTATAAAAAAAAAAGTAGTTTGTTCTATGAATAAACTATTTTCCATTATTGGGTATAGTAATTATGAAGACTTCCACTGAGCAGTCTTACAATTTAATCTGAAATTTTTCCTATATAGATATTTTCAATAAACAAAATGCTATTGCCTTATACCCAAGAGTCTTACGTTGTATTTTTGTTGTTTTAGATTAACTTTGTGTTTCCCTCTTAAAAATCAATAGGAAAACCAACTTCATTGCATAGCAGTAGATAGGCTGGTTTTCTGTTGTGTAATTCTAGTTTGGGTTTTCAGGTTTTGTCCAGACCACTGCCATACAGAGCAGGTGTTTTTAAATCAAGTTATTTTATTAGTAATGTCAGGGTCTCTAGTTTAAATTAAATGTTATTAAAAAATGAAACCACTTAGTGTTCAACTTTTTTTTTTTTTTTTTTTTTTTTTTTTTTAATGGTCAAAATGGAGTTTCCTACACAGGACATAGGCATAGAACTTGGCTTTTCTGAGTCAAGGTAGGCTTTGAACTTGAGACCTGCCTCCTGAGGAGCATTCTAAGGAGCAGGATTTACAGGCTTGGGCTTCTAGAACATTGTTTACCTGGGTATGCTTTTGAGTCTCCTCATGAGCATAGAGGTACTGGTTAAAATGCAGATTAGCAGGCTTGCTGACAGATAGCCTGCATTTGGCCAAGCATCCTAAGTCTGAAGCTAGTAAAGTGTGAGGTCTACCCAGGAGCAGTGCTTTGTAATGGATGATCGGAGCTTGTTCTACAAGTCCCTCAGGCAGAAGACGACTGAACCAAGAGAAGCTCTTCTTTCATCTCAGTTGTAAAATTCATGTTTAATTATCCCCTTGTCACCCTGAAGTTTAGTAGTCCTGGTTTTCCTTTAAAATACCAGGTTGATTCTGATCACTTAACTACATACAAACTGTTTTGCTCTCCATAAAGAATACTTATAAATTGCATTGATCTGAATTCCTATAGAAGGGCAAATATCAAATGAACCGCCCTCAAATGTGTTTAGTCCTTTCTAAGTAGACTCCCAGTGATGTGTTAGTGACAGATGCAGCCAGGGGGAACCAGTGTCACCTCCAGTTGATTTTACCAGCTGTGAGGGGATTCCTTACATGCTACATAGGACAGATAGCACATTTCTGTCCCACGTTTCCCTCAGACAGACTACCTTCAGTCTCACCCTTTCTACAAACCTTCACTCACTAAGCTGTGTGCCAATGACTCAGCTAGCAAGATGGCTCCCAAGGATAAAAGTGCTTGCCATGCAAGCCGGAGGACCTGAGTTCAATTCCTGGAGTTGTGTAAAGGTGGCAATATTTGTACCTACACTCACTCCCACACATAATACACACGTGCCACACAATAATAACAAAATGTAACATTTTTAAAAAGAAGTTCTCATTGTAACGGGCTGTATCTTGTCCAGTACATTTGTGAAACTGAATTTTGCTTTAGTGCGACAGCCCTTTCAATGAATACTAGTTATCGCTGTTCTCTCAAAATTGATCCACCTTTCTCGTTTCATTATAAGAAGAAACTTTATTTCAGCGTAGCAAGTGCATTGTCTGAACTCATCAACACCCTCTCTGTCCCTCCCCTCCCCCATTTGTTGCAGACCAGGATGAAAGAGCAGCTGAGCTCAGCAGGGAGCAGAACGAGAAAACCATCCGGAGCACGCAGACCGCGCTCCGCAATTTCCGGGAGTTCCTCATCTCCAAGTACCCTTCCGAAACCAGAGAGATCTATGTCATCCCTTGCAAGGAGCTAGATGCCTACCTTGCCTCCTTCTTCGTGGATGCCAGGCAGAAGGATGGGTCTGAGTACGAACCCAACAGCTTGGCGAATTACCAGTGTGGGCTGGAACGGTACCTGAAAGAGCACAGGTATGGCTACAGCATCACCAGGGACAAGGAGTTCAAGCGTTCCCAGGAGGCCCTGAAACAGAAGCAGATTGAGCTGCGCTGCAAAGGAAAAGGAAACAAGCCACACAAGTCCATGAAGCTCACCTTTGCCGACGAGCTCATACTGCGGAAGAGAGGACTGCTGAGCAGGTATAACCCCGAGGGACTGCTCAACCTTGTCTGGCTCAACAATACAAAAGCTTTTGGGCACTGCACGGGCTTCCATGGATCCACCTTGAAATGGGGCGACATCCGGCTCCGGGTCACGGAAACTGGGCTCGAGTATTTGGAATGGATGGGTCAGGACACTGGTGATCTGAATGCTAAAACCAAGAGAGGAGGGACAGACTCACGAGTTTATGCCACCCAGCATGCCCCGCAGACCTGCCCGGTGCAGGACTATAAAGAGTATGCCCAGCGGAGGCCTCCCGCAATGCGCTATGAGGATGCCCCTTTCTACTTGTCCATCAAGCCAGTTGTGAACTTGGCGGCTCTGCATTGGTATAATTGCCAGGCCCTTGGCAAGAATAAGCTGGCCAAGATGGTGAAGACCATGTGCGAGAAAGGCAACATCCCAGGCAGAAAAACCAACTTCAGTGTCTACCAGAGCTGTAGCACCTTGTCTGAGGCCCAGAGCAACCAGCTGGTGCTCATCTGCAACAACTTGAGCCAGCAGGCGGCCCAGTCGGTTGCTGGCCACTCCAACAGCAGCAATTTCATTGTCTCCTCTTACGACTCTTCCTCAGACACAGCTTGACCAGGTGGCTTGCTCAAGACCTCACTTTGGTTTCTGTGTCCCAAGAAACTATCATTGTGTACTGCGTTTCGTCGCCTTTCACCTGCCCTCAGTGTTAACTTTATAAAATGCAAATCTATATTTTTCTTTTTACAGATAAGCCAATGGCAATAGTTTAGTATCACTAACGCAGTATTTATAGGCTTGAGACAAATAAGTGTGCTTGTGGGTGATTACATGTAATTGCTCTTACAGACTTGGCAAAACCATAGTGGTTCTCAGGCAATGGTAGAGAAAGAATTCCGTTTTTAAAAACCTGTAAGAAAGGAAACCCAGAGTCATTCAAGATATTGTGTCCTCCTCACCTCCTGCTTTTAATCCCCTTTATAGATAGATTTATTTTTTTAATTTTTTAAAATTCTATATGAATCTGGAGGAGACAACACCTTTACTGCTCATGCAGAATGTTGAAAGGGTGTCAAGCTCAGTGTCAAGTTCTTTGCAAATATTTTAGTGTAGGTTCAAATCCTGAGCCTCAATTTTCAACGTTTATGGAGATCCCAGTGCGTAAAGATCTTTTCTTTGGGGGTTGGGAGCAGAAGGAGGAATAAAGGTGCCATTCTTTTTTGGAAGATGTCTCATTTTTAAATTATATGCAAAATCTGAATGGGGGGGACAGTTACGTAGCTCATTTTTAGTGGTGTGCTTGGACCCGCATAGAATGTTCTTTTTCCCCAAGTCCGTGTAAATGAGTTGGATCATCAGATTTACCAGAGATTTTAAACTCTGAAAAACTTTGAAAATATTTCCAATTGTTAGATTGTATATCAAGCATAAAAGAGAAGGTAGGAAATGGAGGCCCCGCACTAGAAATCTGGAAGTGTTCTGTTACTGTTTCTAAGCATTAAGTCTGTCCCTTTCCCCCAGGGGGGTCACTTGACTCTGCACTTAAAATCAAAGGAGCGTTGACACCCATCTTAAACCACAATATTTTGTCACCAGGCTTAGTGGGACTCAAAGCATTCTTGGGTTTCTTCCCAGTAAATAGAAATACATTTATTTGCGGTACTCTGTAGTTGGAATAATTTTGGTTAAACATTTGTGGTGGTTTTCACAGTCTTTGTTTTCAAGTCTTGAAGACTATGGTAAATTGTTACTTAAAACACTTGAAAAATCAATTAGAATTAGAGTCACAGTGAGACCGAGCTGGGTCCCTCCCATCCTGCACATATAAGGGCTCTAAAACCCACCATGTGTTTATCACAGCTGAGGCCCTGTAGGGGATGTGTTTATCCTCCAGGTCAACCTTGTAACTTACATTAGCTTGGAAGGTGGATGGTATTTTATTATCTCCTGATATGAAAAGAGAAATATTTTTATTTACTTTACTAAATTGTCACAGAGTTGAGCTTTTCCATGGCTAGGGGCCTGTTCACATCAATACATAGTTAGTGCACTAGGGCCTTTCTTATAGGCTGTGGTCTTGAGTGCCAAAGTGGCAGGTCTGCTTGGGGCATTCGTGGGTAGACGTAACTTGATGGGCCTGTCTTTCCTAGAGAAGCATTGTTAAGAAAAGATGTGCATATTTCTAGACAAGTATTATCTAAGCCTTTGAGCAAGCAAGTTACCCTTGTTTTATGGTGAAATCAGAAGTTGGATGAAGGAGTCTGCCTTCTCACTCCAGCCTTTTTCTGTTCACCTTTTTCATTTTGGGCTGGTTGTTGGTTTGAGTGGTTTGAGCCAGAAATGGAAACAGTGTCTTCCCTTTGCTGAAGGTTGTTTAGTTTAAAGGAATGTTGGGTGATCTTTCAAAGTTGCATACTGTCCTCGAACCTACCTCCCCATTTCCTCCACTTAAACACACAGCTGCTTTCTTCCTACTCCTCTGCAAACCTTCCCCACTCTCTCCCCACCCCTGCAAACCCTCTCCTTTCTTGGAGTCAGAACTTTTTAAAAATAAATTTTATTTAAATCAGAAACAATCTTATTTTATATATCAATCCCAGTTCCCTCTCCCTCCCTTGCCCCTCTCTGATAACCCTCATCCCATTCCCCATCCACTCCCCAGGGAGGGTGAGGTTTTCCTGGAGGGATCATCAAAATCTCTAGTCGCTTGGGGTAGGGCCTAGGCCCTCCCCTGTGTGTCCAGGCTAAGGGAGTATCAGAACTTTTTAAAGGCTGTTTTTATGTAGCATACCTGTCATTTTTTATCGTCACCGTTTTTTAAGTCCTCAGTCGTGTTGGCCGCAGAGTTGGTTTTGAGAAAGGGAGCCTGTCACTGCACTGAACAGAGAGGATGGAACTAGGCGGTTCTGAGTACTAACAGAGCACGTGTCCTGCTTAATCTTAAGTACTACGTTTTCATCAAGACAGTTATATCAATAATGTGAATGATTTTTATTTATTTGTGTTTTGCTGTGATAACTAACCAAATAGGAACACTGTGATATTTAGATTAAAACAACATTTTGGAAAAAAAAAAAAAAAAGGCTTACTAGAAGAAGCATAGAATCTCTTTAATTAAATTATAAAAACTCTGTGACTACCTCTAAATTGTGTATTTTTATCTAAACTATACTGAGGACATATCAGTGCCAGATGCCGTTTTTATTGCTTGGAATTTTAACTTAGAAAAATTATTCTACCCATGGCCAGCATTTGTCATGGTTATTAGGGCTAATGTGAAATGTTTCATACATAATTTATGCCAACTATTAAATATTTATGTCATAATTTTAACTATCTTAACATTTCCCTGTTAATTCATTTTCTCCTAAGTTGTTGTGTTGTGTTCTATTTGATGCAGGGGTCTCATCACATAGTCCACGCCTTGTCCCTCCACATCCCAAGTGCTGGGTTACAGGAAAGCAACACCTTACACAGCTCGTTTCCCTAAATTAAAGTATTACCTGATCTACAGCATATATTCTGGTGTAGGTTAAGTCTCTGATTTGTCAGCTAGGTTCTTATTATTGGAGACTCTGGTGTTAACTAACACCCAGAGCCATAATATCAATGGCTGAGATGAAAGTTTATGGCTACCTAGGCAAATATTTATTGACTATCCAGTTGGTGGGAAGTCTGTGAAGATGGGTAAATTCTGAGAGTGTCCCCATCTCTGAGCTGACCCTGCTCTGCATTGCCTGTCACACTTGGTACTTAAGTCATCGGATATAATTAGCTGTAGAATGTATCCCACTGCTTTGAGGGTTTTTTTTTTTTCTGTTTTGTGTGCATTGTTGTTTTGCCTGCATGTATATCTGTGTAAGGGTGTCAGGTCCCCTAGAACTGGACTTACAGACAGATGTGAGCTGCCATGTGAGTTCTGGGAATTGAACACTGGGTCTGGAAGAACAACCAGTGCTCTTAACCACTAAGCCATCTCTCCGGCCCCTTCTTTGAATATTTTATGAAGACTTTCCTTTGGAGCCATACCATCCCCCAAGACAGGGTTTCTCTCTATAGTCCTGGCTGTTCTGGAACTTACTCTGTAGACCTGGCAGGTCTCAAACTCACAGAGATCCGCCTGCCTCTGCCTCCTGAGTGCTGGGATACAGCTTTTCTTAAAATCAGTTATAAGGTGATGTTCACCTTATTACATCTTACAGTGTTCACACTGCACGCACACTGGAATGCCAGGGTCTGCTGAGACAGTCATTAGCTGGAATGTACGGTGTGTCCCGTACCAGGTGCTTCTGTAAGTTGTCTTCATTAGTTACCATTTTAAGTGAGCATTGCTGCTCTTTTGTGAGGGGGAAATCTGATGGGTTGTCCATGTCCCAGTGAATGGGTGGGGGTAGTGGTCCCTGGCTGCTGTGCTGGTGCCACTCACTTGTGCTCCCCTAATGCTGCAGTAGAATGTCTAAAGTGACGAGCTACAGCCTGGGGCCCAGCAGTTAGCAAGGCTGGTCTTTCTTAAGGACAGTGATAGAGTCATCTTTAGCATCAGACAGGTCTGGGAACCCAGAAGTATACTGTAGATACCACCCTCCAATCACTGCTCTATTCCTACTGAGAGCAGATAAAGGGGAGTTGTGTGGATAAACTACCAACAACTCTGATTTGACCTCTTTAATCAGGGCAAAGGAAGACCGATCTCTCAAGGCCCAGTTTACTTGAAAATTCCCCAGTGGGGTTTGCCCGAACTGAGTGAAAGACCTGATTTGGTATTAAAGATTGTGGTTTCTTAAAAGTATGACATTTTAGTGTACTAAGTTGAGTTTTAGTGCAAGCCACGATGAATTAGAATGAATGGGTATTAGCCATTGTCTGCTGAATTGTGACTTTAGATGCTGTCTCTGGAAAGGCCCTAAGAAGTTGTTTCACCCAGTGATTGCCAGGATTTAGACTAGGAAAGCGTATCTTCCCGCAGGGAGATGATGGAAGGTGAAGGGATTGATACCTCAGAAAGAACAGGCATGTGCACACTCACACATACTCCTGGAGAGTCCGCGCCTTAGGCCTAGCCTGGCTGTGCTGAATGGGCTGCTGCTAGACAGCCTTCCCTGTTCTTCCTCACAATAGGAAACAGATAAAAGTACCTGGGTCTTACTGTCTTGCTAGGATTAGAGCAGGAGAACCCAGACACCCTGACTCCTGTCTTTATAGAAAAACTTGATAGAATTTAGAGAAGAAATTCCACCTATTGGAAGTAAACCCTGAGTTAAAGTGTGTTTTCCTTCTTTTCCAAACTGTATTTTAAACACTTTTATTTTTGTTTTGGTTATAAAGACTGGGTCCCATGGTGTAGCTTTGGCTAGCTGTAACTGTGTAAACGGGGTTGGCTTTGAACTCATAGAGGTCTGCCTGCCTCTGCCTCTGGATCTGGAGTGCTGGAATTAAAGGTGTGTACCACCATGCCCAGAATTAACCCTCATGTTTGTTATATAGGCTATTTGAATGTGAAAACTGATTTTTCATTGTATAGGGTTATGTCTTGATTTTAGCCCTGTTTTATTGTGAAAATTTTAAAAATCACCTCTGGTGTAATTGTTTCCTAACAAATATCACTCAGCTTGTCCCACTTATATTTAGTTTTTAATTATAAATGGGGAGGCAAGCTGCCCACATCTCTAAGTAATGGATTCTAGTTGCAGATCATGGACCAAAGAGAATTCTTGTTTCATTGGGCCTTCTGGGAATCCAGCTCTACAATACCCATGTTATTAATTTGAGATACAATTTGTACTGGTTTACAGTTTGAGACATATCTTCAGTCAAAAAGATTAAAATTGTATTAACATCATTAAGATTTTCTTAAGTCTGTATCAGGGAGATTGGAAATGCAAAGGGTATTTCTTGTGTTATCTTGACTTTTCTTCCAAAAAGGAATTCAAGCATAAAATTTTCACAGACATATTTACAAATTGTATTTATCAGAATCAGTGGAGATATCAAATTTTAGGATATTTTTTAAAAACGTGCAGTGTGATTACTTGTCTGTCTCGGTGTGGCACTGGAATTAGCATTTTTAGTGTTTGTCATTTAATTCAATGGGAGCTTTGAAAATGCTTTGACCTAGTTTTCTCGTTTGTGGTAGGTAGAATTAGGAAGGCATTGGTGATGTAGAATCCTAACAGGTATCGTGCATATAGTGTTTTAATGGCTGTTGGTTTTCAGTGTTGTTACAACATTTTAGAAGTCACATACCTTAGA